ATAAAATCCTCAGTTAAATGTTTAATTAATTGATATTATCTAGAGGAATCACATGGCATCCATTAACTACAGAACATTATGCAGTATGTACTTGCTAAGCAGCTCGCTCTTTCTGAATGGAAGTTTTTACCTCTTGGTTTCTTGTTGAAGAATGCTCTCCTTCTCATAGAAGTGCTTAAGATTTTAAGATTTTCATTAGCTGCATGGGGGGCACACTTTTTTGAGCTTTCTGTAGAAAATCGTAAGTTATGTCAGAGACTGAGGTTGCCTTGTTAGATATTTCAGCTTATAATTTGAGGGTGGGGTTGGAGGAGGGCATGGATGCTCCCTCAGTGTCATGGATGTACTTACTTGTGGTTTATGGTTAAGCCATATGCAGTCTACCACTGGATGCCTTTTAAGATACTGTACTTGCTAGAATGGGTTCAGGATAGAGAAATGTACATGATACGTCCATTCTGACTATGGAAACTTGTACATCAAGATGTCAGGGATAACCTGGTGAACAGTGCATATAGCCATGACATAAAATTGATAAATCAAATGTTCTGTGTTTCCTCTTTTATTTGTGGTCCAAAAGTGGCAAGGCTGAGCATCAGTGAGGCACTGAGGATGTATTTGATACTTGTTAAAATATTGTTGAACGGTATCCATACAACAATGTTGTTGTTCTTGAAATGCCAAGAACAACTGGATACTACACAACATGTTTATTTATATTACATTTATGTTCTGCTTTCTCCCAAAAATGTTTGGTTCATGATATCTTGCAATAATACTGTCACATATAAAATACAAATTAAATGGAAGCATTAAGAATTTAAAGCACAATTCAAATCACACATCAGTAAACGAAATAGCACTCATCATTTGCAAGTCCCTTCTCCTCCCACAAGTGAATTTAGTTGCCAAAGACCTGCTTCAGCAAGATGTTTCTTTGCCAGCAAAAGGACAATAAGAAACTGGAGGCAGTAAAAGAAGAGACACAGGAATAAAACTACAGAAAGAAGCATAGAGTTTTGACAAGCAACAAAGAACTAGAAAAATTGTGAAGAAGTACTGAAAAGATTCAGTAATTGTACTTCGGAAGACCAGGAGGCATTAGAAGAAAGGTTAGGTCTTCAGTCATTGGTGGTATTTAGGCTTTCATGATCACTCACATCTAAAAAAAGGAGCAGGTCGGGAAACGGGAGATAAGAGCCAGACAATGAATACATTTGAAGATATGTAATAATCTTAAACTTGATGAGAATTGGAAATACTGTACAAGCCAGCAGAGAGAAATCCAAAGTACTGAAATATGGTCATATTTGCATGCATAAAAATAAGAAACCTTACAGAAAGTACAAGAGAAATTGACTTACCATAAGAACAGACAATAGACAGAAGAACGAGGTTGTAAGCATTTGTTAATTGAAAATGCTGAGGCATCCTTCAGCCTCGAGAGACTTTGGTAACGTGCTCTGAATAAAGGATTTGAAACAGTGTCTAGTGTGGCTGAGAAGGCCAATTCGAGAGTGACAATCCCTTCCACACTGAAGACAAATACAATCTGTCCCCTGTCCAGCTCCCTGATTTTGCTGGTTTCGGGACTGCCTCTTTGCCTCGGCCTGCGACAAGGGTCTCTTCAAAATGGGAGAGGCCATGATGCACCGCCTGCCTCCCGGCTGAACACTCAGATGTCAAGGTTTCCCATCTGTTGAGGTCCATTCCTAAGGCCTTCAAATCCTGCTGTCAGATATCCTTGTATCGCAGCTGTAGTCTCCCTCTGGGGCGCTTTCCCTACACCAATTCTCTATACAGGAGATCTTTTGGAATCCGACCATCAACCATTCTCACGACATGCCCAAGCCAACGTAGACGTCGCTGTTTCAGTAATGTATACATGCTAACAATTCCAGCTCGGTCTAGGACTACTCTGTTTGGACCTTTTTCCTGCCAGGCGATGCCAAAAATGTGTCAGGGGTAATGCATATGGAAGGTACTGTATTCAGCTTCCTCTCCTGCTGTGCACAAAGGGTCCAGGACTCACTGCAATACAGGAGTGTGCTCGGGACACAGGCTCTATAGACCTGGATCTTGGTATATGCTGTGAGCTTCTTATTAAGCCATACTCTCTTTGTGAGTCTAGAGAACATGGTAACTGCTTTTCCAATGCGTTTATCTAGCTCAACATCTAGGGAGAGAGTGTCAGAGATCGTTGAGCCAAGGTACACAAAGTCATGAACAACCTCCAATTCTTGTGTGGAGATGGTAATAGAGGGAGGTAAGTCCATACCCTGGCCGATGACTTGTGTTCTCTTCATACTGATCGTTAATCCAAAGTCTTGGCAAGCCTTGCTAGAATGATTCATGAGTTGTTGGAAGTCCTCAGCAGAATGGGCAACAACAGCTGCATCATCGACGAAGTAGGTCACACATGCATTTCAGCTAAACTTTGGTCTTCGCTCTCAAGATTAAAGAGCTAGTCTGGAGATATACACTTTCTCTTGCTGATCCAAAACCGTGCTTCAGCATGACACCATCGAAAATGATGAAAGAGAAATATTTAAAAAAATACTGCCAGGCTCTTTTATTTGTAGAAGAACAAAACTTGGGAAATCAGAACTGAACAAAAGCGATAAGAACAAATGAAACAAAATGAGGTACTCTTCTTAAGGTGCAACTTGCCAAAATGAGCAGGGTGCCACAAGGAATTACAAAAAGAGTAGGTGGAAATTTAATTTTTATTAACAAAAAATTAAAATTGCAATAGCGATCTAAAAATCAAATGTTGTCAAATACAGTACATGATAATTTAATCTGAAGCAGTGGTTCCCAACCTTGAATGTCCAGATATTCTTGCACTGCAACTCCCAGAAATCCTGGTGGTGAAGGCCTCTGGGAGTTTTAGTCCAAGAATATCTGGGGGACCTTAAGTTTGGGAACCACTGACCTAGAGGATTAAAATAGTGAACAAGAAGCAGAAGGTCTAAGAGAAACTGTAGGAGCTCTACATGTTAAGGGACTCTAGTACAGTGGTGCCTCGCATTACGACGTTAATTCGTTCCAGCAAACTCGCTGTAGAACGAAAACGTCGTAATGCGAAAAGAAAAAACCCATTGAAATGCATTAAAACCCATTTAATGCGTTCCAGAGGGCTGTAAACTCACCGTCCAGCGCATATCCTCCATCGGGTGGCCATTTTCACTGCCTGTGCAGTGAGGAATCCATCCCAGAAAACAGTGGGGGACCATTTTGTTTACCCGGTGGCCATTTTGAAACTGCCGATCAGCTATTGGAAAATCGTTGTTTTGTGAAGAATCGGTTCCTGAAGCAGGGAACTGATCATCGCAAAGCGAAATCCCCCCATAGGAAACATTATTTTGCGATCACAAAAAGTTCATCATAATGCGCTTTTGTCGTTAAACGGGGCAATCGTAAAGTGAGGCACCACTGTACATAAGGGAAAAATAAAGAAGACATGTTAAGGAGTAACAGCTGCAATAGCCAGAAGAAGCATTTTTAAAAATCCTAATGTTAAGAGAATAGGACCACTTTCTAGTAGTTTAGTAGCAAAGAAGTAACAGTAGTTAGCCACAAAGGAAGAAATAAAAAAAATACATTTTCTGCCGTCTATATTTTCCACTCACCCACTTACTGTGTTGTGAAGTAAAGTATGAGTACGAACTATAACTAACTTGAAATTGTTCTGAATAAGGGCAAGGAGTTGAGATGGATTAGCTAACTAGGTGATACCCCATAGTTACGCACCAGCAGAAATCTAATTCTTCCCATATGCTCTGCGCCATGCTTATTATGAAATAGGCACTATTACTGTTTCCCCAGACAATAAACACAGGATGGTACACATCTAGGAGTAATGGTTTGCATCTGAGAGGAGTTGTGGCCAGTGAGGAGTGAAACCCTGAAAAGGGTTGAATGTAGGACGTTGCTAGTTGAAGAAGCATCAAGGCTTGACTGGAGTCAAAAGAGGTGTCCAATATTATGAACCAATGCCATTCATCCAGGTTTTCTGCAATCTCGTGTATTGTGTTTTCAGATAGTACAAAAGGTCCTGGCATCATCAGTCACGTTCCCGTTTACTATGTATCCTTATGCACTTCTACCTGCAGCTTCCGGTGGAACTTACTGTACCTCACGTCATGCCCATCTTCATAAAATTCACACATAGTGGATCAACTGCAACACTGCTTTCCAAGCTGGACATGTTTTATAGTTTTGTTACAACGTGCTGCTTCTCTGTACTGAGATGTCTCTAAATGTGTCAGTAGAACAGCTACATTTATCTGGTGTAAATATCCTATCTCTGAGAGGCACTTATAAATACAACAGCACCAAATTATGGACAGGCAAAATCTAAACCGCCCTTTGGTGGCTAGAAAGCATTTCCTTCTGTTTTAGTTCAGTATAAGATTCTGTAGGCAGTGATCACCTAAGACGCCAATGAACAGTGGAAGCATCGCAGTCTTAGAGGTGTTCATCCACAGTACTCCGGTTAGGCAGAGCACTCTTTGTATAACAGGCCTTTGTTATAGTTGTCAATGCAGTTTAGGCGCTAGACATCATTTGTGCAGAATCTGAACACTTCTGATGATGTAGACTATGTGAGTGGGTAAAATGTGGCCCAGTTTTCAAAGGACCCTAATAACCCCAATTGAAAAAAGGTGCAAAATGCTATTTTGCCATGTAATTTTTTTTCCTTCTAAGCATTCTCCTAAAATGGTGTTCTGGAAACCAGGAATGCCTCCCCGCCCCCCCCCCTTATATTTCTTGAAAATCCAGGGATCTGGTGTGGGGCAGAACATTGGTCCCAGGACTCCACATTTTCCCGCCTTGGGTGTAAGCATCCTCTGTGCTCTCCTGTGAAAGCAATAATTTCAGAATTGCATTCATTCTTGCTCTGGATTCTTAATTCAAACAGGATGCATTGGTGGAAGATGGTGGTTTGCCTGCAATGTCTATGAAAGTTTTATTTCCAATTTTATTTCCTTCCGCAGGTGGTACGTGCCATACTGCAACACTCCCCACCCTCGTCCGAACACCTGCACTCGTGATGCAGCCCCCTTTGGATGGCAAACCGTATGTGTCCTTTCCAGTGGATGGCAGCTCGACTGTTGGACTCTTCCCCAATTTTAACACTGTAAGTAGTAAAGGTTGCCCTTTTTTCTCCATTACTTCTTTGCTTTCTTTGCTATGCACAGCGAAGGACACTCCACCGTGTTCTTGTTGATGAGGGACCACTGATTTCACAAGAAAATTGTCCTTGTGGTCACTGCCGGTTTCTGTGGGGCTGGGCATTTTAGCCATCGTGTTGCTTAGTTTTGTGTCGCTTCTCACTAATACAAAGTGCTTTCTCTGTGTAGTGGATTTTGTGCTCTATTTACCAAGCATAACTGTAATAGAAGCCTCTTTTACAAAGTATTGGCTGAACTCTAGTAGTAAATCACAACTAGAATAGGCCCATTGAATTAATGGAACTTATGCAGATGTTGAATCACACTAAATCCCCACTGATTCAAGGGACCCAACTCTAGGTCCCTTGAATTTCAGCCGTTGTGTGATTCCAGAGCTGGGAAGTAAAATGTTACAAGTAACATGATTATCTATACTGTGTTACTATGGGAAGTAACAGGAGTATAGCAATGGTTCTGTTTTTAAAAGATGCAACACGCAACAACATTGTTAGTTATCCCCCACGTACATTCCTTGTATGTGAACGTACTAGAAAATGTTTGGGGGACGTTTGGAAGAGATTCAGATTTTCCTACTTTTGTAGGTATAGAGGGTTGTTCTTTAAAAGAAAGGAAAAGCAATAAGCAATGTAATTAGTTACTTAAAATGTAATTCTGACAGTAGAAGGTTATGTTATGAAAATTTCCAAATGATATGCAATGCTACAAATGTGAAAAACGTATAATAAAAATCTATTGCATCTCATGAGGCCAAGCTATGTCCAACCCCTTCCTTATTGTTTGCAAACCCACTTTTTTGGCATCTCTCTAGATGGCACCCATTCACTCTCTTGATGCCACCTGTTCACACTTTTCCTGCATATCTCTTTATGCTACTTTTGCCGAAACCAGTTTGGGTGTTCTGCCTTGTTAGGCACCTGCTATTAAATACTGTAGTTGTTTTATATTCCCTCTCTATTTGCATTGACGCTCTAGGTCTTGGTCAGTGAAGAAAGAGAACATTCTTGTTTTTCCTTCCAGCATGCAGTCTGTGTTCATGCTATTCTGAATTGCTGTGCCATGTATTCTAGTGTCACATTGGTGATCGGCTGTGTGAGTAGGGCAGGTGGTGCAACCAAATGTGGGAGGTTGAAGTGGAGGGAGGAAGTGAATAGATGAGTTTCCAATTCTATGATTCTCTGGTTTTATGTCTATCTCTTGGTTATCTTTCTAATGACAGTGTATATGTTTCAGTGCAGAATTTTACAATGTTGCAAAACAAAACATACAGTACTAGAGCTTGCCAGCAGTGTTTTGGGAAAAGTGGGTCTATGGTAAGAAGCCCTTTCCCTCCTCCCTAAAACCCGTCATGTTCATCTGTTTAACAAACAACACTATATAAGTCTTGGTTCAAATGTCCTACTTATCTTAAGCATATCCATTCTCCAATTTCTTCTGACATGTTTCTCTCCCATCAGCAGGCTTCATTTTAAGGATGGAAATTCTGCCTCTTCCTGCAGGAATTCCCCTTTGCTCTTCCTGACCATTTGAATTCCCTCTCCAGTCTATCAATTGCTTCATCAGTCTTCATCTCCATCAAGTGCTGAAAGATTATTTTTTACTTGTTTGACATATTGCTCACTTTCCACTGCAAACCAGGAGGCAAGAATTACCTTTCCTAATCTCTGCAAAGCACCCAGCCTGTTTCTGGAAGTTTAATAAATTAAGAGGAGGGTGCAAAAGAGACACAAGCATACAATCAGAGTAATCACAGGGTTAATACTGACTTGTGTATAGCATGTCAGTCTGAAGGAGAGCAGTTCTTTTTCCTCTAATACTGTTAGTAAATGATCAAGCATCCTTCTAAGCTGGGCATACATGTGTGCATGTGAGTCTCTGCCTCCCTGTGCGCAGCTCTCTTCCTCCTCCACGCAGCAATCACTTTTAACTCCTTTGGTTCATCACAATAAAAAGGAGAGTGATTCAGGTCGTATTGTGCATCATGCTGACCAGTGAGCAAACGCAATTTGCACACTCATGATAGTTGTAAGAGATGCAAAACATGATAATGGAGGCTGTAGTTTCAGCAGGCAGAAACTAGATTATCAGCCCTGCCAGTACAGAACCAATAGCAGGTGTTGCCTTCATAAGGTAGCGTTCTGTATTTGTGCACCTGAGAGAGAGAGAAAACAGGGGAGCTTCCTGTATTACTTGCAGACAAATTCTGCTGACAGGCCTAGCAATGCAGTCTTATCATGAAAACCAGGATATGCAATATCTTTAAATATTAATGTGTTCATTTCAAAGCAGCCGAATCGGAGGATCTGATAAAAAATATGTGCCACACGGTTATTTAAATAGGGATGACAGTCACTAGAGTGTTTCTTTGCCTCTGTCCGTTATGTAGGAAAAAATATTCCACGAAACATCGATAAATTTTCTCCTATGACATATACATAATTTCTCTAAGTTTCATGGGGTACTGCTGCGAAACTGATCATGAGCATGCACGTCATTTGTTGTGATTAGTTGGCATCAAGCACCAATGGTCCAGTGGTATCCAACACCAGTGGAATTAAGACTTACTTCTCCAGACATTTCTTCTGCAGCCTTGCCTGCTACTAACCCCGTACGCTCAGCTCCACAGGTCCCTGGATCAGGATTTTTGGGCGCTGCAAGAGAAATGGGGTTGGTCACTGTAATGGCCTCCCTCTACCTCACAAAGGGAGGTCGCTACGTCACGCTAAATCACTCTTCTTTTCCACTGCCACCAACCATTCCCTCAAATAAGTAGCTTCAGGCCAAAATATGATTCAAAATAAAAACTCAGGTTTATTGGGTACAAATAAAACGAATGGTAAATCACTTATAATTAAATAATAATTAAATCACTATAATAAAGGCACTAGCATACACAGACTCTCACAATATATCACAGATCTCCTAACTCCTCTCTAAACCCTATCAGAGCCCTATCAGTCCTTATCTGTCCCTATCTGAAATCTCTCACACACATTCACTCCCATTTATACAACAGCTCCACCCCCTTATGTCCCACCCTCCGTCACACCATTGGTAGATAACTCACAGCTTTAGCAGTGACTGACAGGTGAGGTCATAGCTGTATGTAACAGTCACCCCTTCTGGCAGAAGCAGTGCAATCCAGTGGAAGTAAAGAGCTTAATTCTGACCATAGTGCTCAATAGATTATGGAGACGTTGGCAAAATAATAACACTCTGAATTGTTCTTGCCTAGAGGTGAAGGATCTCATCGGGTTTGAAAATTCCTTGTCAGATTGATTTGGTCAGATACCCTAATTTGACACAGACATGGTCAAAAAGGGTGTAGAAAGAAGCAGTTCTCTTTCCATAATTCTGTGGCTCGAGCCCCTCAGGCCAGTTGTGGTAAGGCAGTTTGGAAGCTCAAAATGGAGACTGGGTTGTTTTTTTTACCAAAATGTCCATCCCGTGGTTATCGGAAAGAAAGCGTTGCCAACAAAAGATTTCTGAAGTCACATCAAGCTGCTCATTTGGTCTCTTGCAATGTATGTTCAATTCCCCACTCTGCATCCTTGGGAGAAGAGCCAGCCTGTACAGCCTTTTGCAAGCTGCAAATTTCCAGAGCACCCTCAGAAGGAGAAATGTGAAAGGTGAACCATTTCTGAGTGGACTGCTCTATACCAAAGGGAACTCTGGAAAGGATCACCATGAGTTGGAATTGAGATGACAGCACCAGATGTTTTATTTATTAAATTTGCAAACCACTGACATGCACATTTCATCAACAAGATAACACACAAAGGTAGCTTTAATAATTTTTGTGTATATTACATATATATTACAGTCGTGCCCTGCTTTACGATTATCCCATTTAACGACAAATCCGCTTGATGATGATGTTTTTGCAATCGCAAACCAATGGTTTGAATGGGGAAAATCCACTTTGCGATGATCGTTTCCCTGCTTCGGGAACCGATTTTTGCTTTACGATGATCAAAAACAGCTGATCGTCAGGTTTCAAAATGGCCACCGGGTGCACAAAAAGGCTCCTGCTGTGTTTAGGAGCCATTTTTCGCTTTACAGGCACCTGAAAATGGCCACCCCTATGGAGGATCTTCGCAGGACGGTGAGTTTTCAGCCCATTGGAACACATTGAAAGGTTTTCAGTGTATTTCAGTGGGCTTTTTTATTTCACTTTACGACGTTTTTGCTCTACAGCGATTTCCCTGGAACGAATTAACGTCGTTAAGCGAGGCACCACTGTACATGTATTTATAAAAGTATTATATAAAAATGGTAGAAAGATCTTTAAAAGCAGGCTTTGCTAGCATCTAAGCACATTACATCATCCAGCAAATAAGCATCTTCCTGTTTACTTTGATCTACAGGATTATTTATAGTTTTATGGATTAAAAGACCTTTGTCTTTAATCTTCTCCATTTATGATTTAGGTTTGATTTTTTTTTGTTCAAACTTCAAGGAGCTGTCTGTCATTGATTCTCCTCTGAAATTAACTTTTACCATGCTTTTCAAAGATGTCAGTTAATGGATTTTGATGGCGAAACATTAATAATTGATTTTAGGAGAAGGCTGTTTTAATTCCCATGGTGTATAAACTACTACAGCCTCCCATTTGTATTTTGGAATCTTGAGGTCTTTAACGTTCAACATTTCATATTCAGATTTTAGTATCATTCCCCCCGCCCTTCTAGGCATTTTGTTCTGGGGACATGCAAATCAGCAGTATAAAGCGGCATACAGTTATGAAAATGGGCATTTGGAGTACAGTATTTCTTTTCCAACTCTCCCTAGTGTGCTGCAGATTGTACTCAATTCCATGTTTGTTTTCTGAAAAGTCAATGTTTACTGACAACATTTTTTCCTAAACATGCCAATTGCCACTATGTTCCTTTCCTTTAAAACCTGACAAATAATTTTCATGCCTTGGAATTGCCAAAGCCAGAGCAGG